GGCCCATGTGATGCAGACAGATGAGTACTACCTAACCTACACATCTGGAGGCTAGAAGGCAATGCCATAGTCACCCCTGCAGAGAAAGCCCTTGCCTTGCAAGGTGCAAAGGCAGGTCTCTGAAGAGCATGGGAAATCTTCCTTGTACTCCTTGCACTGCAATGCTGAGTGTACACGAGAGGGATGGTATTTCTACACCACCACAAGAAACTCCATGGTTTCAGAGGTATGTTAGCATTTGACAAAGCATAGATAAACTGAGCAGCTACAGTTTTCAGCTGCTGAGCCACAGCAGGAAGGATTTTCTCCTGTTCCAGTGCTCAGTCCAAGTTAATTTGCATATATTGCCTAGCCCCGGTGTCTGAAAGCATCCAGGTAGGCATAGCAAGGTAAAGCTTAACAACTTGAAGTTCTTTTACAGAAAATGAACAATTGCATTTCCTAGCAGCACCTTTACTTTGCTTAAACTAGAAGAGGAGATTGTGTGTGCGCGTGCGTGTGTTTACAGTTGAGATTTGAGACTGTTTGGGGCTTGTTTTGTGCAGAGGTGATTTGTGTCCACTTGCCGAGGTGACCTCCAACTTCACCGGTAGCAATGAGACACTCTGCTCCCACATCACAGCAAGTCACAATGGCTAGATTAAGACATCCAAGAAAGAAGGAGGGATAAAAGCGGGGTCTCTGCTCCTGGGCAAGGCCAGCGTGGATGTTTGCACAAGACCCAGCAGACCAGTCTGAGGAAAGGTTATTAAAAACTGATCTCCTGGAGAAATAATGGAAGAGCTTACAGTTCCTCAGACAAGAAAGGAAATGGCAACAGCAAAGATGAAACTACCCAGATGGCCCATAAGCTGACTAATTATATGAAAGACCCAGAAGCAACTCTGAAGTTACCAATCCAGCTGCTGAGAGAGTCTGCCAGGGTGCCAGATGTTGCCAATGAAAACCTATCATCTTCCACAGTTCATCGAAGTAGAGCAGCTTTTTGAAGTGAAACCTTTGCCAATAAAATAAATATTTTATCTAAAAAAATATTTTCTACTAAGAAACATGTTGAAAAATATAAAATTTTAACAACATGCCCAACCCCATGTTACAATAGATAAATAATGAAACACACATACAGAATATGCTGGCAAGATCTTCTTATTGAAATGTCTATGCCTAGCATTATATTTATGAGGCTCCAGTCTTGGATTGTGTTACACTAACTGGAGGTTTTATGAGTTATGGGGTTTGTCAGTCAGTCAGGGTTTGGATAGTTTGCCTTGAACTGCGCAAACCCTTTTGCCACCTTCAGATAAAAGGCTTAAGGGCAACAAAGCTGGAGGAGCCACAGGTGACAGAAATAGGTGTTGTAAGGTGGGGAGACTGCAGAAATCACAGTGAGACACTCCCCAGCTGCCAAGTCACCTCTCCTAGCGGCCACACAGTGGAAAACTCCATGCCCCCCCAAGACAGAACAAAAAGGAGCACGTTCCTAGACAGGTAACTTGCATTTTGCTCCTGCCAGATTTTATGAACTACGCAAATGGGTGTCTGCAAAGAAGGCTTCCTCTAGCAACTGGTAAAGCATCAGAGGAAAGAGCATTGGCTTCAACACTGGAGATACAGGCTACCCCTCAGATTCATGCACAAAGGCTAGTTTAAATTTTGCTAAGAGATCAAATTAATACTTCATTTAAAATCAGGAAATTATGTAACTTAGAAATCCTGTGTAATTTTTCAAATGCAGCTATTAACGATGCCAATCCAGTGTCTTGGAAATACCATGTCTGTTCATCCTAGAGGCCAAAAATCAAACTGTCTGTATAGTCTGTTAGCAAGGCTAAACATCTCTTTTTCCAATGAATATGTGTAAGTGCATTGGGATTCACACAAGCGGATTTGGCAGCTCTTTCAAGTGTTTCTTGGACTGGAGAGCATACACTGAACATGTGGAGCTTTTTCTGTTCAGGAATATGACGTGAATAAGAATATGCATACTGGAGGATGAGCTACGGCATTTCTATCATAATCTAATTTGTCAAATATAATTTACAATATTTTATAATCGTAATCAATAGGACAGCATATCTAAAAACTGACGACTAAGGTTTCAGGATCTCACCCAGCATGTCTTTAATAATACATGATTCCTTAAATGTGCAACTAAATCACTGAAGTATATGAGCTGAACTTGGAAACTTTTCCACTTTGAAAATCCACACCCGTTTTTAATAACTGACTACAGCATTTGCAGAATAGACCAGCTTTTTCTGATTTGCTTCCTTGGCTCTTGAATGCGCTGAATGGGCTGGATTCTCCAAGATGGGTGTAAAAACTTATAAAACCCAGGAATATGTCCTTTGTGTCCCTCTCCCCTGACTGTTTACACCTCCCCTTACCCTGATGACTTAAACCCAACCTAAACAGATCTAAATGTGGCCATTTCTCTGAGTTCCTACAACACACAGACTTATTGATAACTGACAGAGAATGAATTCACATTCATTTGGGAATGCATTTCCTGAAACTGTTGCAAGACTTGATAGAACAAGAGTTGGGGAGAGGGCGGGTAGTGAGAAAGAAACCTGCATGATATAACCTGTTATTCCTTCTTTGGTAAATAAATTATAGTCCTAATTATAATCTTGATTCACAAAGAATGTCTCTACTCCTCCAAAGATTACTTTATAGCTACTTGGAATACTGGATATGCTGCGACTACTGAATATCCTAGGAAAAACTCTAAATTTGCTGATACATTTATGACGTACATGTGCTTAGCTACTAAAATGAAGTCTTCTGGCATTGTCCTGTATTTAAAAGAAGCCATATTACCAGATGGGATGCCTTCAGGAGAGTGAGGTAGTCAGGTCTGATGATGCAGCAACCGAATACCTGGAGAAGCTGGTCAGTTCAGTCGCAGGTGACACACCGCCTCTCACCATCAGGGTTCCTGGTAGGTGGGTTACAAAGTGAGAAGTACATGGTAACAGCCCAGGAGAAGTTAGCTATTTTTCCGTGCATCTGCTAACAGAGAAGATAAAATGTTACCTACAGACAATCTGATTTTGATGTTTTTTTCTGCCCCACTCAAGGGCATGCTGCGTGTCAGCCAGCTCCTTGGAAGAGGTACAAGCAGTACATGCAGACTCCAAACTTCACAAAACAGCTTGTTCTTGTGCGTCCTCTGTAGCTCACATAGGATAGGAAACTGCCAGAAGACCAAGAGCTTTAAAGATGTTTCAAGCAAGTATTTTCTAAGCAGTACAACTATCTGTTCTTGTTTTCATCTGAGTGTGAAAAATGCACAACGATGAAGAGAAAAATTAAAGTAGGAGAGAACGCTATTAGTGGAGACACTGGGCTTCAGCCTGCCAAGGGATCTCGTCAAGCAAGCCCAAATTCTCAGCAAAGCAGTGTTGGTAGAGCGAAAATAATAAATGAAATGACACTTCCAAACATTAGAGTGACAACAGCGTGTACATATGTGTGCATGCAAGCGTGTGCCTCTGTCCATGTGGGAAAGGGATGCAAAAGGAAGATGAGTCAAAGGTAGAGAAGGAGGTGCCAAAAAGGGGCAAAGAGCATGCTACGTTTTGCACTGTAGGAAATTGATGGAATAGTGTACACATGAGTTAACTCATTAATAATTCCTGGATTGATTCTTCGAGATCATACAACAACACCTGACAAGAAAAATCTGTTTAGTAAATAAAAACCTCACAAACAAATCCAAGTTGGTTTCAACATTTATTTATAATTCAGTGCAATACTCATAAATCAAGAAACAAAAGTTAGAGTATACGCTTAATCACAGATTTTGCTAATCATAATGTAGGAAATAAGAAATTGAATTGATAGATCATTTATTATTATGAAACTTAAAGGCTTTATATTCTTAAGTGGACTAAAGCAGACAGCAATATGTTCATATTAGAAGGTTCCTACCGTGAATGAAATGTGAATTAAAACTGAGGTATTGTTTAGCAAGACAGAAACATCTATATTTCTTTTTGGTTGTGAAATTATTATAACCACACATAACCAATCAGTATGAAGAATTGGCACTGGGGGAAATCGTCTTGTCAGTTTGCCCTGTGTCTCTGATTTGACAAAGGCAGTCTGCAGGATGTGTATTCATTTGCATGTAATCAGATCTCTGACCTGTAATGTGTACCTTCTGGAACATTAATTGGGGCAATTAAAAAGTTGTTTAAAGGATGAGCTTGCAGCAAAAATGTTGTCACATTTCAGAATCCTGAAATGCACCCTGGACTTCGCAATAAGCAGGTTTAACTGTTTTAAGAGAGTTGTTATGAGTGTTCACCAGGGGCAAAAAGGAACAATCAAGCTACCCATGCAATACACAAATCTGAAGAGTCCAGCATGTGTCAATACACAGCGACTTATTATATAAAGTGACTAGTGTGAAAAAGAATTAGAAAGGATTATAAAAATACACTACAATATGCTGTAGTAGTTGAAAGTGATTAATCCAGTTCTTACATCCTGTTTTAAACTCCCTTTCATTCATTCCCATAGAAAAATAGAAGCATCGTTTCTTTGTTTGAATGCTATGTAGTTAATTACATCTTCTAAGAAATTCTTTCAAAACTAAATGTAATGTTTAATTACAAAATGCCTCCTTGAAAACAGTTAGCTTGTAGACTGATTTGTACTTCATTAAAAATGCTTTCTTAATTATATTTACAGCCAGAAAATACATAGAGATTAAACAGTATATAGAGAAATTTTGAAATTATAATATAATTTGTAAGGAGAAAGTTATACTTCCAGTAGTGGACAACTAACAGCCATGACTGAGTAATTGCTGCCTTTCTGTAATTTCAAAATTTTACTCTTGTAGAAATAATAATTGGAAAACAGTGTTCATTGTAACAGCTAACAATATTACATTTTTTTATATGAGTAGATTTTCAAGGACTAATTAGAAAGCAAATCAATTGCATCAAACAAGTGTAAAGTTCACGTTAGCTGTCGGATTGATCACCTCAATACACAGGGTTCATGGCTAAGGGCAGCCCGCGCTTTGGTTCATAGGGTGTTGTCCTGGAAACCATGTGGATGCAGTCGATAACAGGGCAGACACTGAGACACAGGGTGCAGCCTGTACAGCTGTCAGTAACTGTGGGCAGGTGGGTTTTGGGATCAAACTGGATAGCCTGCAAACAGGAATAAACATTATTGATGCCACTCATGGAAAAGGTCAAAATTGCTCCCATTTTAGTGTCTGCATTTCCTGTGCTACAGCACTTGGAGACATCTTGGTGTGATTCTGCACTGCGGCTATAGCAACTGTTCAACTGGCAGAGAACAGATCAACACCCTCTCCTGACAATTTAAAATTAGAAACATGGGCCAAATTATACCTCGGTGAAAGCTCACAGGTCACAGGGGCTGCTTACAAAAGGAGGAGTTTGGCCCGTGTTTTTTAAACCCCCAGAAGGGTATTTCTCTTTCGTGTGAAGTAAATAATGCGTAAGACAGCAGTTTGTCAGGGTTTTTGGTTCAGAGGAAGACACCAGACCATGCCTATACATGTTCAGCACAATGCTGACCACAATGCATTCTTTTGACTTTTCAGCACAGCATAAACAGTCTAATTTAATAAACTGTAGAGAAAAATACCGCATGCTGTGCCTCGTATGATTATTTTCTTTTGCAAACATTTGAAAGGGAGTTCTGAGCAGGCAGAGCTTGCTTTAGTTCTCATGTTTCCATGCAGTGAATCTGCATTACCCGTTAGGATGATAAGTATATTTGAATGTGAAACAACAATTGCAGTCTCAATAAAATAAGCTTCTGGTATAATGGAAATGGCAATTCAAAGCAAAACCAAAAGCATTACAGAACCATGAAAGCTTCAGTATCTAAAAAGCAAGCCTAGAAAAGTAAAAAATAATAAAAAAAACCCACCCAAACACTGCATATCTACTTTTAAGAGTTTCAGGAAGGAAAAAATCAGGCCTAAAAGCTGAACTCTTGCTTCCCTGCAAACAAGTGGTGCCTTAGCCAATCTCCCTAACCACCTTCAGCAACTGGACGATCAGGGATGAGATGGGAGGTACGAGGTGGTGCTTCAGGTTGGCTCCAAAGGCAGACTTGTGGCATTTGGGGTTTCACTACTAGGAAAGCACATAAGTTGCTGTAGCAACCAGCAAGAGCAGGAAGTAGATACTAACTGCCCTGAATCTGCAAGTTTTAGTTTAACCTGAGCACAAAGGAAGCTTTGGTTTGTGAGTATTTAAGGACTCCTTCCTCTCTCCCTAACAACAATACACATCTTGAAAGGGAGTTGAAAAAGAGGGAAAGGAAGTCAGGACTACAGTACTAACTTTAAATTAAGGAATGCTTTTCTGTTGGAGTCATACAAGGTGACAACTCTGTAGATCAGTACTGATATTTTTTAAATAAAGAGAGGCATAAAGCAGAGGCCATTTTTAAGTGGAGTGTGTGTGACTTCTTCACAATTAAGAATTTCTTCACAATTCTTTGGAATTAATTTATTTTTAATTTTCTAAGTAATTAAGGAAAAGATTTTTGTCTGTGTGCACTTAGAAAACCTCCTGGGTTTTAAACTTTGGTTACTTTGCTGCTGATTTTTTTTCCAGTTATAGAAAAGAAAATTTTACTAAATATGAACATGATGTTTTGCTCTTCAAGGGCTATATGCTTCCCTTCACTAGGAAAGCTGATGGAAGCAGACGAGGTGAAGATTGTAGTATCAAGAAGAAATTTAGACAGTTAAAGGCTACTGTAGTAATCTAATCTGGCATAAATGCAACATTGATTTTCCCATATCAGTGGAAAAAATATGTCTACCTTTGCTCTGAAACACTTGTTTTAATTGCAGGAGTTGATTTGAAATGGGAAGACTTCTTTTTTTGACTAAATGTAGTTAAATTCATCAGACCTACTATTGATTAGACTCAATTAAGGATAAACAAAAAGTCATGATGTTCAGAGGAAACTTGGTGCTCAGATACAGTATTTGTTTCTGACAAACTATTCTTGGACTGGGATGAATGGAAAAATTAATGTAGAAATTATTGTTTGCTGCATATTGAAATCCATGGAGCTTATACTAGACTGTATTTTCGTTTTCTAAAAGAACATGAGTCCTCCTATACTGCCCTTTTTACTGCAGAACAGTCCATCAGCTCCAGTGGACACGGCAAGGAATGACATGTAGAAATGCTGATACATTTCATACAACTTATGTTACCATACTGAGCAGGAATCAGAAAAATACTTTGCTGCAAATAGGAGACTCAGCTCAAAATTGTGCTATTTTCTGGTCACAATGATTTCTGTGAATTTCAACCTGCAGCTCTAAACCCTGTCAGCTATCCTGGAGAAAGGATTTGTACCTCAATCAAGATCAAAACAAAACCCCACATGCCTGAAACCAGAATTTGTTCAAGTTCAATTACACTGGTGGAACAAAGACTAGGTTTCTTTAAAGGTATTTGGCAATAAGCACAGCTCTTGTGTCCCCACATTCCCTTTCTCCCTCACATACTTGAAAACCACCCAAGAAGTACATTTACTGCCATCAAGCTTGGGTCTCCTTCATCTTCCCTTAAAAAGAATCCCTCTTCTCCTCTTTCACTAGGAGAGTGACCTAGAGCGAGCCAGTGCGGCGTGGTATGCCCTGTACAGCCCTCCAGAAGAAGCGACGCTGGGCAGAGTTCTCACTGCCGTGCAAACAGCTCAGGCAGGGCTCGTGTGGCATAGCCTGGGAGCATGCTGGGGTTCGAATCCAATATTTTAGACATCTGTTTTTACCACCTGCTCATTAACAGAAGATGGACTCTTTCTTCCCAGCAGCAGAAAGATAACTCATCGTGCCTTTCTGCTAATTACAGCTGCGCTCTTACCTGGTAGCCAGAATCATTACAGGTCATGTAACATTTGCCACAGTTGATACACATTTCCTCATCAATCAGAGCCACAACTTGCTCTGTGTTGCAGAGCTCACCATATGTTCCAATATACTGCAGTGCTTTTCCAATTAAATCCTAGGGAAA